AATTACGAATTCATGAATTACGAATTCGCCTTATGACACTTGCCTTACTTGCCTTACGGCAAGTGTCTTAAGGCGAAACATCGATGTATACCAGTGAGGATGACAGTGTTCCATGTGAGTGCAATTTGTTCATTCATGAATTCGTGAACAAAGCACCCACGTCGAACCGCCCTGCTACCGACCGACCTTAATCAGACTCAGTCCCTCTAGAAATTAAAATCAACGTGTTCTTTGAAATTTTCGATTACATATCCGTTCCTGATTCACAGGGGGGGTCGAGTTTTCATTTCATATTATGATTCAAAGGAATTCTGTTCCAAAACAAAACAGAAATTTTGAAAGCAGTACAAAATAGTTCGTACATACTTTACGTGGCTGCTCAAAAAATGAGTTGAATGTTAAAATTTCGCGAGCTACTTACATTCGATTTGTGATTTTCGATTTTCTTATATTCGTTAATCCGCCTTCAGACATATATTTACAGCTCTACCTATTCAGTTTGTTAGTGAAAGGCATGTAAGTTAGCTGTGTTTTGAGTGATTTTCTGTCATCGAAAAAATGGACCAGAGAATGTTCATCAAATTTTGTGTAGAAAATTCAATCAAGTACTCAAAAACGCTTGATATGTTGACAGTGGCATACGGTGATTGTACTCTGAGTCGGAAAATGTTCACAAACGGTACACGCCTTTCACAGAAGGTCAAGAAAATGTGAACGACGACGCTCGCCCTCGACGTTCCGGCTCATCGACAACCGATGAAAATTTTGAGAAAGTGAAGAAAATAGTTGCTAAGGATGTTGGCATATCAGTTGGACTATGCCATGCCATTTTTTCAGCATATTTTAGCAATTTTGAGCATGAAGCGTGTAGCAGCGAATTTCGTTTCAAAATTATTGAATTCTAACCAAAAAAACCAAACCGTCACATGAGCATCGCCCAGGAATTGTTGAATGACGTAAACGGCTATCCACATTTGCTTGTGGCATGGGTATGACGAGTCACGGGTATGAAATCAAAAACAAATTCCAGTGTTTCCAATGGAAGAGCCTAGGAGAGCCAATACCAAAAAAACACGCCGATTTCAATCTGATGTCAAGGTTTTGTTGATTTTTTCTAATTACCGTAACGTAGTGCATCAGGAGTTCTTACCACAAGGTCGTATCGCCAACAAGAAATATTATCTTATGCGCAACTTGCGGCGCCCCCTACGACTTTTTCCCCTTCCCAAGATCAAAGCAATCCATATCAGATAACTTAAGAAATGAATCAAGCCGATTCGTTGTTTTTGCACCTCACTCTGAGCTACGAATGGAGCTTTGAAAATGAAATTTCGGAAAAGTTGAATTTGAAAATCAATCTCAAATATTAATAGCTCTGAAAAGGGGTACATATCAGAAATAAGCGACGAAATGTGACTGCTCATCGTTTTGAGGTTCAACTCACCTCTAACTTTACTGTTTGAAGAACCCTTCATCTGGAGAACTGGCTGTGTGTGGAATAGACTTTCTGAGAATGTTTTTCCAAATGGATTCAGTCATATCGCTCATATTAGATCCTACATGTTTAATGGAAATGTTAAATAGATGAGATCTCACAGACCATCACCCTACTGATCCTCTTTCCGTCTTTTCTACTTTCCATCCTCCTCCCAGGTAGGAGAAGGAAAATATGGTGCAATTTCACAGACTACTCTCTTATTAGTAAGGTGATTTGTGATGATTCACCACTCTGTAAATATTCCTCAGTTAATCGAGTAGTTGTTGCTGTGGTTGTTGAAGATAGTTTTATCGATGTGAATTCTATTTTTTTGTCCTTTGTTGAGTTCAATAAAAACATACAGAAATTGGCGATGATCAACTTTCGTTGCTGAACCACGAAAAAGACTATCATTGAAAGAACAGAACATCAGTCAAAGCAATCGATTGAACCTTTGAGTATTCCTCCAGAACCTAGAAGATTAGGCGATCATCATCCAAAACGAGGACAAAAAGACCCAAGTGCTCGTGATAGCACCATCCTCCACCATCAACGATGGTATTCCCCAGGGATCCATATTTTCTCCAACCCTCTTTTTATTGTATATCAACGATTTATTGGAAAAAACTAAGAATACAGTATATTGCTCTGCTGATGAGAGCACATTTGTCTTGTAATTCCATTTGGATTTCAGGACATCGGCTACGGATGTACATCTTCACCAGCAGCAGGAGGTTGCATATCTCAATGAGGATCTAGGAGTGCTCTCGAATTGGGGTGGAAGTAACCAGGTTCAATTCAATGCCACAAAAACCCAGGCATCGGTTTTCTCCAAGAAGATAAATGTCTCCAAACCAGATATAATAATGTCAGGTCAGACAATTCCGCTTACTGCTTCGATGAGTTTGTTGGTGGTTAAAATGGGCACCAATATGTCTTGGTTCAATCATGTCCCTGGAATTGCGAAGGCTGCTTCTCAAAAGCTTGGAACACTGTTCCGAACCAGAAGACTTTACCCACCTCAGCAACTTTTGATGCTTTCTAAAGCTCAGATCAGACCTTCTTTGGAGTATTGTTCTCATCTATGGAGCTCTGCATACCCTGAAGTTGCTAGATTCCATCCAGAAGAGAGCCATCAGCTTGATTGGAGACGCAAACATCACGTGCAACCTTGATATCAAAGAAAGGTTGAAGATTTATCTCTCTTCTATAAATAATTACACGTAAGACGTTCAAGTGACTCGAATCCACATGTGAATCCACCAAGAGCCGTACATAATAATAATAATAATATTTACTTGACTACGTTACATGATACAATATGTTTTTAGCAAGTCATGTTTGGCTTTACATTTAAAATTCACAAGTTGAAATTTACATAACATTCACAAGTTAAAATTTACACAACAATCACATATTTAAAAACTTCGAAAATCAAAAAGAAGTAGTGACTTGTATGTTACCACAAAAATGTGTTCTGAAGTCATTGACAGAATAGAAGCAATGCCTCAACAGATAATTTTTCAATTTTCTCTTGTATGTGGTTAGACTGAGTTCCTTGAAATCTTGGAGCAAAATATTGTACAGAGAGTAATCTATGGAATTTTTTTACGATAAGTGAAGACGAAATCGATTCATTCTAATGTGGTGGGCGTTTCATGTGTTATGTTCGTGGATATGATTCTTCTTATGGATTTTAATCAAAACGTAATAAATAATAAAGTTAGCAATGGCATAATTCTGAGTTTTTTTGAAATATTCTTGACGGTGATCCCTGTATATAATATTAGCCAGCACTCTCAATGTCTTCTTTTGCATCCTAAATATTTGAATAGAATGGCATGAATTTCCCCAAAGTTGTACACCATAACTAATATGACAGTGAAACAGTGAAAAATATGTGGTTTTTAATATATTTGCAATAGTGAAGTACTTCAATTGGCGAAGAACAAATAGTGAACCCGAAAGTTCTCTCTTCAATTGAGAAATATGTGCAGACCAGTTGAGTCTATTATCTAATGTAATGCCCAGTAATTTGACTTTATTAGTTTCACAATTAGAGATAATTTGATTATTGGCAGAAATCTAGATGTATTGTGTTTTGTGACAATTTAGTTTCAGATTATTAAATAGAAACCATTGATTAGCACTATTAGATACCTCATCGAGATGAGACTGTAACATATCATTATGTTTATCCGACAGAATGAAAGTGGTGTCGTCCGCAAAGAGGACCGATTTAAACGGTATCATATGTTTGCACAAGTCATTCACATAAATGAGAAATAAGAGCGGGCCCAAATCAGACCCTTGCGGAACGCTATGCTTAATAGTTTGAAAGTTTGATAAGGTAGCGTTGAGCATCACTGCTTGTTGACGATTAGTAAGATATGTTCTTATTAAATGAAGCGGAATACCTCTAACTCTGTAATAGTTCAATTTTTCCAATAGAATTTCATGTGAGACGCAGTCGAACGCTTTCGACAGGTCACAAAGCATCAACGCAGTGTGATTGCCCTGCTCAAGTTCCTCAATCACGCCAGACACGACGTCGAACATTGCATCTATTGTTGAGCGCGACTTTCTGAAACCATATTGTGAGTTGCTGAAAAATGTATTATCCTCAAAGTAGGCATATAGCTGAATTTTAATTATGATTTCAACCACTTTACTAAATTTCGAAATAATACTTATTGGTCTGTAGTTATCAATGGCTTTTTCATCACCTTTTTTAAAAATGGGCACTACTTTAGAAAACTTGAAGATATCTGGAAATATACCAGTACATAAGATCAAATTGATCAGTAAAGTAAGAGGTTGGATTATTATAGACGAGGTTTCCTTTTGTATTCGACTATTGATTTCATAAGTATCTGAAAATTTGGAGTCCTTTAGTGAATTAATCGCTTCCAAAACTTCTATATCATGCACGGGTCGGAAGAAAAATGACTTACACGGAGCAGAATTTTTTTTAAATACGCTACCTTCGCACAACTCTATTTGGTAGGCCACAAAAATGAAACAACCCATATAAATAGGTGTTAATCAGTAGGGATTATTTAGATGATTCATCCATTATTTTGTATATATTTCTAGTCAGTCCAGCTGGTTAACGAGAGAACAGAATTAATAGTAGTTGTTTCTTACATAAGAATAAATGCAGTTATTGAAGTTATAAATAATTTGTTCTCTGTGAATTGTATTTTCGTGTTCTACGGAATGAGTTCGATAGAAATATACAAAATGATTGTACTCTAAAATCGTAAATAAATATGTTTGTAGGTCTTGTTTGTATATCTGATCAATCAATCACTGAGCCATCTTTCCAAGTCATGAATATATTTCAGGAATGTATGGTATTTGCAATGAAACGTCATCTGCAATAGAAACATTAACCTCATAAGAAGAATATCTATTTCGTAAATATCCTATCTTTCTTGCAGGCAATTCTATAACCGTCATTTTATGCTTATCTTTTTTGAGACAATACGAATTACTGGAATTTGTTCATTCAACTACTCACCGACAACTTCCATTTTAGCTTCACTCTGGGCAGACGCAAATGATGGAGCTTCGGCAGATACTTCACAGCGAAAGATACCACTAGTCTTCCAACTCACTGAATGGATCACCACTTTTCTACTATCAGACTTGGTCACCTGTAACAAAAGATGATGATTGTGACAGTCATGTACTGCATCTAAATGAATACAGAAAATAAACGACTCACACAGTAATAGATAAACGATTAGCTACCCTCAAACGGTCATCAATCATGACATCACTTTCACTTTCAAAATTCATGTGATTTCAAAACAAAAAACAGAAGGTGATGCAATTGAAAACGAATAAAAATCAGGATACTACAGAAGTTATAATAAACGAAGTATCTGAACGACAGCGCAGAGAAAAAAATCTAATTATATACAAACTTGATGGAGATGATCAAGACACCGATTTGAACAAAACTATTAAAATCATTAAGACCATAGCACCAACTGTAGGCAGCAATAATATTACTACTTATCGAATTGGCCGAAGGAATGGGGTCAACCCTCCACCTTTGAAAGTAACGCTCAATAGTGAAGAAGATGTAATTACTATTCTGAAAAATAAGCGTAAACTGAACGATCTAAATATAAACATTCAAATCAACAGAGACAAAACAAAACTTCAAAGAGATTACCTGAAAAAGATATTGCAGGAATTGAACAAACGCAAGCAAAAGGGATACATAAATGGTACTCCCACCATCGCCTCCTCAAAAAACTATCAGATTTCAAAATTGGTCAAATAAACATATGTTCCTTAAATAATTGCTATAATATATTCAAAGACATTATACTTGAAAATGAGTTTGCAATTGATGGTGTGACAGAATATGGCTTAACCCAGAATACCCAGATAAGTTTGTTTCAATTCCTCAAATCAACTTGGTACGGCCAGATCGCAACAGTAGCTGCGGAGGTGTTTGTATTTATCTGAAGTCGTCACTCAAATATAAAGTGTATCACTCAGGCATCGCTGCTCATGGCTTGGAACAGTTGTGGATCATCGTTCACGTAAATGAATGTAAAATTGTTTCGGAGTTTCCACCAGGAACTAGTGTTGATTTATATCTTAATGATTTATGTGAAATTTTAGAACGAATTTACTTATAAACGACGGTTATAATTTCAGTAGGTGATATTAATATTAATCTCCCGAATCCAAATTCTAACGATACTCAATCGTTCATTAATATGCTTTCTGTCTTTGATTTGTGTCAAATTGTAGAGAATCACACTCGTATTACTAATACATCTGAAAATCTCATAGATGTCATCTGTATAAATAAGGAAGAAGTTTTAATACTATTGATATGAATGGTATTATAGACCACCTAATGGTCAGCTGCGTAACCAGCTTTCGAAATGAACAATCACCTACTGATTTAATATACTTCAGAAGTTACAAAAACTTCGATTTCACTAATTTTTATAACGACGCTGCGAATATACCATAAGGTGATATTGTTAATTTACAAAACATGAACTCTAAAGTAAACTTTTTGAATGATTGTACCTATAATACATTTATTTGATGAACATGTTCCTATCCGCAGGTTGAACTGTAAAAAGAAATTTCTGCCTTACGTCACATACAACCTTAAGCTTATGATGCAAACCAGAGATAAGGCTCATAAAACATATTTAACTTTGAGAACACCGGCTTCAAGGAAGTATTATGTTACTCTATGGAATTACGTTAATGACGCTCTGAAACGTGAAAAAACAGCATACATGCAATATATTCTAAACAAAAATAAAAAAAATTCCTAAGCAATTCGGAAAAATCAGTCATATTGGGGCGTGAATACAAAACGTTCTTCACAAATCAACAGTCTACCGCAAGAACTGCATAATCCAGAGGAAATTAATAATTTTTTTCTCGATGTTACTGGAAATTCTACAATTAACAGTGATACCTTATTATTTTATAGTAATAAGGTCCATTAATGTTCTCTCTTTTCATTTTTGACTTTCCTGCCACGTTATCCCAGTGCGACGTACATTTATATGCTGATGATTTTCAATTATATCTGTCAAGTCAATCTAATAATATTTACCATGCTATCACCAGTATAAACTTAGATTTAGAAAATACACTTCTATTTTCCGAAAATCATGGCCTTCGAATAAATCCAAATGAAATAGTACCCCTGTGTTTCGGATCTGACCTACAAAGAAATGAAGTTGAAACAAATTTCCATCTTTTTTTTGACAATGAACCGATTGACTGGGTGAATTCAGCAAAAAATGTAGGTGTATATATCGATAACACTCTCTCGTTCAACGAGCACGTTAAACACATTTACAAAACTTACTTTTTTAAACTGAAATCCTTATACAAGTTCAAGTTCCAGCCTTCTCAAGAAACAAAACTGAAATTAGTTCAATCATTGATTTATCCCCATATTGAGTATTGCTGCTCAGTGTATTACAACTTCTTGCCAGACTATAATAAACACAAACTTCAACGCATACAAAATGCTTGTATAAGATTTGTGTGCTGCATAAACTACGGTGATCATGTAACTCCATATTTATTGAAATTAGATCAGCTGAGTATTGAGTTTAGAATTCGTTATCTCATATCTGTATTCTTACATAAACTATTGGAAAGCAACACTCCTATTTACTTGTGCAGATTAATTAGTAAGCGATCTGATAATCATTCTATCAATTTAAGAAAAGATACATTTACCATTCCATATCATGTTACCACCAAATTTGAGGGATGTTTTTCTTACTTTGGATCGAAGTAGGTAAAATCTAAATAATTTATTACCGTATTTTCATTTGTCTATATATCAATTCAAAAAAACTTTGAAAATTCATTTCTTAGATGTTCAAAAATGATTGTGATCTTTTGTATTATCTCCATAATAGTTTTTTTTAAATTATTTTTGTGTATATTGTAACTGTTACTTATAGTCTTACTGTATGCTTATTTTTTTTCTTAATTATGGGACGGGTGTGTATAAAACTTGTTTTTGCACAATACACGTTATTATTATTATTATCTTTACCTTCTTTTACCTCAATATGAGTGTATATTAAGCAAGACGTTAATAATTGATGAATATCAACCGTTTGTTGCTCTAATTATGGTAACAGCTACAATACATCAAATGAAATGTGAAGACTGGATGAGTTGGAAAAATGTTAACAGTATTGTCATGCTTTCGTATTGAATCAAATGAGCGGCATTAAGCCAGAGGACTATAGAAACAATTTCTTCATGAATCATATCACGTTTGATGAACTGTTGGTATTAGTAAAACCTTTTCATTTCGAAGAGACACAAACGTGATACAGAATTTGAGGGACCGCCTAGTTCTTATATTGAGGTATTTTACTCTTGGGTGAAACTTTGAAAGTCTGAAGTTTCCAGTTGTTATGTCATCATCTTCATTTAGTGCTGCTATTATTAGACATGAGGTTCTGATGTCAGAACTGCTTATCTGGATTCACATCATCATTGCCCGTTACTTCAACTTTGTCAACCTTTCACGATAGTTACTCAGGCCAATCTGATGAAGTAATGTTATTTTTGAAGACCACCACTTTAGCAAGTTAAATCATTTTATACAAGCAATCACAATCCACTTTCTGGGAACTTACTGTTCGTTCACATTGTATAGTAATCCCTTGAGATAATTATATAATATTTTTTTAACCGTCATATCGTGAGCGTTGTTTGAAAATTCTACGCATTTTCAGGATACTACAGCTTCAACAACTTGGAGTTGATGAATATACATGTATTTCATTATAGAATAATAACTTTCTTATGATTTTAAACTAGTTTCTAGATGATGAGGCAACTAACAGAGTTGTTTTCCGCACATATCTTGACTTTGAAATGAGTTTAGAATTGTTACGATCCCTCAAGTTATAAAATTTGAAAGCCGTTTCTTCCATAAGAAAATGAAAAATTATATTCCAAGCACCATATTACAGTTATATTATAATGAGGATAATTTCAGTGATGATTTGATGAGTTGAACGAATAACGAACAGCACTATAATATGAAACTAGTGCTCTAGAAATAATATACGTTTAGAACTAAACACTATCAGTATCCTTATGTTAACCCATCTTATAGGATCACTCACATAACTGAGTCCAACTTTATTTTGAATATTCACAAGTCATTTAGGATGATTACCGTCTCAACTTAGCAAAGGAATTCATATCGTTTGCGAAAGCGGAACGAAATGGAGATATCATCGCACACCCAAATATAGCAGGAAGAGAAGTCATTAGCTTTTCGAACTAGTTTTACCAGTAGCGGATGAAGCGTCTAACAGAAGCATTCATGAAAAGGGACTCACGAAACAACGTACAAGCTCAATCAACTCACACATGATGGAATGCAATTATTCATAGCAGAAGTTGAACCCTTTGCAACATGTCACTATAAGTTATAAGACGACTGCAGATACAGCTATGAGAATGTCAGTTAGAACGATACCAGACAACTCAAATGAATTCAGTGACTCGTTGACTGGGTATGAAAGCCATATAATCAATTTGAGCCATCAATTTTATGTCAATCATTGATTGGAGTTTGTTTGGCTATTCTGGTCAGAACACGTAATAGCAAAATATCTATGATTTGGAAAGTAATTGAGATACTTTTGAAAAATCGTCTCAATTCTCTCTTCGAAAAAATGTTTCACTTCAACAGTCCATAATATAATTTTTTAAAAAATAGGTCCATTACTCAAAAAGCTCACAAACTATTATCCAACATGGCCAAAGGTCTTGATCAGGGAGCGCACTCTTCTTTGACTCTATGCGACCTGACAAAGGCTCCTGACTGTGTATCGCATACTATTTTCATTTGAAAAAATAAGGTACTATAGTGTCCGGGCATAGCTCTCAAGCTCATCTCGTCTCATCTCACAAATAAGTAGCAATATGTTGAGGTGAACAACGTAAAGTCAGACCTCAAAGAAATGAAGTAAGGCGTTTCTCAAGGCACCATTTTAGGTCCACTATTGTTCTTGATCTGAATAAATGATGTACCTATGCAGTTTCATAAAACAAGCAAGATGTTCCTTGTTCGCAGATGATACGACTATATTATCAGTGTCATTGCTTTTCGAGT